ATAGAATATGAACCCAACCAGCCCAGTTGCAAAAAACCACAAAGTGTTTCACAAAATCCTTGCACTTAGAATATTCCTGCATGTAGTATGGTTGTATGTGTATATGTGCTCTAAATACCTACCTTAAGAATAGCACAGTGTTTGCATGCATGCATATGAAAGAAAACGAATGTGTATATATATATATATGCATGATTATACATGCATACGCCGGTAGAGCATGATTTTAACAGAAATTTAGGACTGTTTTACAAAATCCATACACATAGAATAATAACTGCACGTGTTCCTATGTGCAATGGGGATGCTTTGTACATGTAAACATGATAAACATGCATGTACATATGTATATGTATGTATTTATATATATATATTAAAAAACCATTCTTGATTCCAATTGGATACCTTGCTGGTGATAGAATATGAACCCAACCAGCCCAATTGCAACAAATCACAAGTGTTTCACAAAATCCTTGCACTTAGAATATTCCTGCATATAGTATGGTTGTATTTGCATATGTGCTCTAAATACCTACCTTAAGAATAGCACAGTGTTTGCATATAGGAATATATTATATATACATGAATATATGAATTATATATATACATGAATATATAATGTGCATCGCGTACATGCATGCATATGAAAGAAAACGAATGTGTATATATATTTATATGCATACATGTACATACATGTTGGTGTCTGTGTTCACGTGCCGATAGAGCATGATTTTAATAGAAATTTCGGACTGTTTCACAAAATTCATGCACATAGAATAAGAACTGCATGTTTTCCTATGTGCAATGGGGATGCTTTGTACATGTAAACATGATAAACAATCATGTACATATGTATATATATATATGTATAAACCATTCTTGATTCCAATTGGATACCTGGCTGGTGATAGAATATGAACCCAACCAGCCCAATTGCAACAAATCACAAGTGTTTCACAAAATCCTTGCACTTAGAATATTCCTGCATGTAGTATGGTTGTATGTGCATATGTGCTCTAAATACCTACCTTAAGAATAGCACAGTGTTTGCATATAGGAATATAACACATATATATATATGTGAATATATCATGTGCATTGCGTACATGCATGCATGTGAAAGAAAACGAATTTGTATATATATATATATATGCATGATTATACATGCATACATGTACATATATGTTGGTGTATGTGTTCACGTGCCGGTAGAGCATGATTTTAATTGAAATTTAGGACTGTTTCACAAAATCCATGCACATAGAATAATAACTGCACGTGTTCCTATGTGCAATGGGGATGCTTTGTACATGTAAACATGATAAACATGCATGTACATATGTATATGTATGTATTTATATATATATATATTAAAAAACCATTCTTGATTCCAATTGGATACCTTGCTGGTGATAGAATATGAACCCAACCAGCCCAATTGCAACAAATCACAAGTGTTTCACAAAATCCTTGCACTTAGAATATTCCTGCATATAGTATGGTTGTATGTGTATATGTGCTCTAAATACCTACCTTAAGAATAGCACAATGTTTGCATATAGAATATTATATATATATATGAATATATTATGTGCATCGCGTACATGCATGCATATGAAAGAAAATATATATATATATGTATATTGATGATCGGATATAGATCTGTATTTGCTGTAGATATCATCCACAAAATGAAATGTTTCATAGCCAAACAATTCCAAATCAATCAAACAAATATAGATGTTTTACACAGGCCATGCACTTAGAATATTATGGAGTCTCAAGCCAGTGGTTGCTTTGCGAAAAAAATTGGAGGTGTTTCACAAATTTGATGCACTTAGAATATTCTCAAGATCATTATACATTTAAAATCATATATGTTTTGAATATTCTATCTGCGAATCCAGGCTTGCACTTAGAATATCCTCAGCAGGGAGCCCGCAGCTAATTTTTTTGGCTGAAAGTTGATTGACTTAATATTCTAAGTGCGGGTCCTCTAGTATATATGTACTTGTTTTTGTTTTATGCCTGGATGGCAACAAACCGGAACGCGTTCCCCTCCTGCAAAATATTTTCAACACGTTTGCTTAACATTCGTGTAAAACACGGTTGAACAATATGCATCGCTGGTGCTGATGTTGTCCCCCGTCACCACATGTCCAAGTAAAAATCAACATGGTTGGTTCAACACGCCAATTCACTTGCGGTTTTGGCCGGTTCAACCGACACCAAGAGGTGCTTGCGACTGCGCATGAAGTTGCGAAGGGCACTTCAAGCGAAACATTCAGTTGACCAACCAAGAACACCACAAACTTGGACATACATGCAAAATTTGGACAATGAATGGTTTGGCCTTTGCATGAAAACACAAGCAAATTGTTACGGGTCATAGTTCAACGGGCAATGTACCCATGTACCACCTGGAGATTCTTTCAACGGGCAGCGCAAGTGCGATCTTGAACATTTTGGCTGGCAATGGGGGCTGCTGCAGACAAATGCTGTGCTTCAGAACGTTTTTCTGGCATTTTGTTGGGTCGGAAAAAAATGTCTTGAATTTGACTGCAATGTCAGTGTCTGATTTTTCAAACCGCTCCGTGCATGTTTCATTCATAAAATGGATCACTGTTTGCGTAATATTTTGTAAATTGACCCACCATGAAAGCCAGGTGACCGCGGTCGCCAGACACAAGCGGAGATCGCACGTCGGGTGCGTTTTGACGGTGAGGACATTCATGCCAAATGTATCCAACTGTGCTTATATACATGTTATCCCAACCCATGTTTCTGCAGTCACACAGCCCCATTGTCTCGGATGCGTTTGAGATTTCAATGCAAGGGCGTTCGCATTCGTATGAATACAGGTATTATTTTTCACATTTCACGACATTTCACGACAGGGGTCAAAAATCCGAAAATTTATCCATTCCAAGACCTCAGGACGCTGCTATGACTTCCTTAGAAAAAGTGCAGGCCGGCTGCTTTTTATGAACCGAAATTCAGTCATGCGCAGTGGAACATGTTGAATGTGCAGGTTTTACGTCGAGCTAGCAAAAATGAAAAAACGGGTGGCGGCGAAGCCACGAGGAGCTGATTTGGAACTTTGCGTGATATTTTAAGCATGTCATAAAATTGGTCATTCATGTGATTAGATGGACCAGCACTCGCGTGATTACACAAAACAATGAACATATTCCTGATCAACAAAATCCATCTTTACAGAGCACAGAGGCTGATTTTTTGTGTGACCTTTTTCATGTCAATCATGTCAATACAGACCCGGGTAAAAGGGTAAAACATGTTGTCTTGCAATTTTGCGTGATAGTGCGCTTCGAACCAGGGTCGAAAGTGCTGAGAATACAATTCAATCGCAGGCCTACGTTGCTGTGGTTCTTTAAACAATGATTCTGGGGCCTTTCGGAAATATCCCAACACATCCTTTAGGCGCAAGATCCCTCAGCGCAAGCCTTGACCCAAGCGAAATGTTGTTTTGTCAAACATGTTGAGGGAAGTCGATTGCAAACATGGATCTAAGATGATCTAAGGCCCGATCTTCAGCTGCAAGACAAAAAGGGGCTAGACTATTGAAGGCAATGGCTGTGCAGAGTCATGCAGAGTCTCATTGTGTCGCACCTTTTTGCACAAAACAATTTTGTTTCCATCACTTCTGCATGTTGTTTTTGGTGAGGTTGCATGACCAAAACATGTTGTCATGGACCATTTATGGTAAACAACTAGCCGTGTTGGTCGCTGGAGTGTAGCCTGAAAAAAGGCCCGAGATCACATCATTCCGGTGATTCGTAAATCTGGGATACTGTAGTAATGGGTTCAACTGGTACAGCCACTCATTTTGCACTCCATACAGGCGGGCATCAAGACCGGCGAGGCACGGAATGCTTCAGTAGGGGAAGAAATTAAAATCCATGAAGAGCACCATACGCAAACATATGGAGATGCAATGAAATGCAATGAAATGCAGTGAAATGCAATGAAATGCATTGAAATGCAATGAAATGCAATGAAATGCAATGAAATGCAATGAGATGCATGTGAATTTCAAACTATCCATGCCTAGACACAACTTTTCTGGTAATTTTGGTAGTTGAGGCAGCCAGTTCGCACTGTTTCCCACGTACACTGAGCAGTTTGCTGTTTGCATTGTTTGCCCTTGATGCCCTTGATCGTTTGTCAGGTCAGTAAACTGGTCGATGCTAAAGAAGCGGAAGAAGTTCCGAACTTGGAATTGACAAACCACGGAGGACACTTGCCAGACTGGCCAGCTCTTTGAGGTTCCGGGAGCTGGCTCATACAAAATACAGAGATGCTGATGCTGAGAGATACTGAGAGATACCGAGAGAGAGAGCTTGCAGAGGCTGCAAAGGTGACCAAAGTTACCGCTGCGGAGGCTGGGTTCCCACCAAGAAAACATAGAACACCAGAGCAAGATAGAAGCTTTCCAAGTTACGAAGTAAACGTCTGACTGAAGGAAGTCAACGTGCAGAGATTGCCAGTTGGACTGGAGTTGGAGCTACAAGTGACAGGACCAAGAAGATTTATACGAATTCTGAGGGCAACATTGAGAGTTTCACCAATTTCACCAAGCTGCAAAAACTCAACATGTAGAAAGGAGTACAGTGAGTACAGAGCCTGACAGGCTTGCTGAACAGCTTGAAGTAGATGTGTGTGAATGTATGGGATAGATTTGCTCAAGCAATCTGCGCTTTGGGTGGTCCAACAGTTTGACATTCAATGTGTTGATCTGCATTGATAGCATGCTGCGGGGAGCCATTTGCTCAATTACTGTACGTAGCTCATCATTACTCACATTGCAGTACTGTACCATGTTGGCAAACTAGTCCACAGTGACAAGTTAAGGCTGAATGCGGCTGGATTGCTGTATTGTATTGTATCATATAGAAGGCCACGCCGCAACGCCGTTTCACGATGAATAGCAGCATGATGGACATTAAATGGACATTGATGGCTTGTGCGATCTTCGGTGTATTGCCATTCTCATAACAAAGCCCTCCGACAAAGTTTTTGAGAACAAAAAAAGTGTGCCAAAGTTTAGCACATCGCACTGCGGGAGTTCAAGGAGTTCACCTCGGAGGCCTGTCGAATCTGTCGAGGTTCATTTTTGCATTCGTCCGAACTTCGTCCCTTCGTCCCTTCGTCCCTTCGTCCCTTCGTCCCTTCGTCCCTTCGTCCCTTCTTTCTGTGATTTTTATCGGAATGTTTGACAAAGCTGTGCTTTGAAGCTTCGACCCCTTCAAAGTGCAGTGCAGGACCATTGGAAGGACTTCCATGGATGGCCCCTTTCTCATGCTTCTGCTATGCAATGAAAACTTTTCGCTCCAAAGCAAGGCATGTTGTTTCATCAATTCGCTTTTGAAGTGTTGGCCGAGGCGGGACGTGATGGTTTCCAGCCATGTCTTATGGACACGGGGGCACCTGTCCCTATGCCCAACTGGGAGAGGCCATAGAAGCGGTATCCTGGATGTGCCAGTCACAAATTGATCACATGCAGGCATCTGGTCATCGTCACCCTTGCTGTACACGTCATGGATGTTGGTGCCGCGGCAAGTACTAGGATTTTATTTCCTTTTAACATCTATTTCCTTCCAAAGCACGTGCGGGTTTGGAATATGGGACTTCATGTTTCAGTCTGCTGAGGCTTAGATTTGTGCGTTGCTGTGCTTTTTGTGGCTCATGCCCAGCCGGAAGTCTCAGCCTGCTTGAGCTTTGAGGTTCAAGATAAAACCTAATCAAGGTCGACTCAGAACCCAATTTCTAGGACACGCAAATAGGTTCACTAGTATCAAAGCGGCGCCTATCAACTCGTTCAAGTTCTATGTTTTGTAGATTTATTAGGGTTCAAACAGCTCACTACCGCCACTACCGTAACTGCCGGTCAGGTTCTAGAGAACATGGAGCCCAGCTTTGTTAGTCTTGACGCTATCAGGTCTCCACTCCAAGGTTCTTGAAACTTGCAGCAAGTAGAAAGAAGGAGAAAGTGCTGAGGGCTGTGAGCCCACTCAAAACTGTTCATAAACTTTCTCTATATAACCTCTTGAAGCACAAGTTGATAAGCGACATTTGGCCTCTCTTGCTTTTTGTGCAGGTGGATATTCTTCCTAGGTGTGGGGGGTTCACTGTGAGACTCGCGTGAGATTCTTTGTGATCCGCATTTGTTTTCTAACAACTCTAGTCTATTCCTGCAAGCTGTTTCCAATCCAGAGTTACTCATTGCACAAGAGGTTGTATAGCAATGCATGGCATATGGAAGGAGAAACATCCGATGTACTTTAGATTTGTTTTGTTGTCACACCCAACACATCCAATAGCAAATCCTTCAAGTGTAGCAAAATGTGAAGCAGGTGCAGCTGGAGTCATATTTTGGGCATGGCTTGTCTTCCTCTCAGCAAAACCTGTTGGGAGTGACAAGCGTCTTGTGAAGCACTGCGCGCAAGGTCTCCAGCCTGTACATTTCCTTTGGTGGAGGTGCTCCAGCTGGAGACATTGACAATGATGGTGTGGATCTTGGAGCCAAAGTTGAAAAGTTGGACACGTATTGAGCCAGAATTGAGCTTGATTCAGCTTGACTGCCACAGTCTTAAGGAATGGCAGAAAGACCAAGCTTCCTGTTGAATTTTGCACAAGTGCAAATTTTTGCGGAGGCTTTGTGCAATCTTTTCCTTGAGAGAAGTAGCGTGAATGGCTTGAAAGGACAAGCGTAAAGAGGTTGAAAGATGTTCACTCCGGAAGGCATACAGGTGTATTTTCTACAACGGTGACACAGACTATTTCCACACTTTGAGGCTCATGGAGGTGGGCTGCAAGGGTTGCTGGAAAGCAGACGTTGAATCCACCATACATTCCGAGTTATTCTCGTGTTTTCACTGCTGAAACTTGAACAATCTTGAGGCTATTCTGGAGTCAGCACCCAATTCCCTTGTACAGCTCTATGCCCTCGTAATTTGGGCAGTTCCTGGAGGCTCTGACTCTGACAGACTCTGACAAAGCACCGACAAATTGTGTTCTCAGCTTCTTAACCACCAACATTGACACCTCATGGGACTTGTGCAGGGCGCAGAGCTTTGTGCGTCCTCACTGGTAAGCAAACCTAGTCAGACTTAAACAACCGATGGGAATCAGTTTCAGGCATTCTGCTGGAGAATGCTGCTAGTTTGCTTAGACTATCTGTCCAGCTTCTCAGTGATGAACAATTGTCACAATCACTGACATTGTGCTGCACTGCCTGTTTTTTTTCATGTTGTTTTGTGTGGTTGCAACATTCAGTTGTGCTTGAGTTTGTCCTGAGGTCTTTTGCTCCTTTGTCTCGGTGGGCCTTGGCCTCGCTATGTAGCCTTCGCCTGTTTGAATGAGTGGATCCTGGAGCCTGAAAATATGTTGCAGCAGCCTTCTGTACCGGCAAGATTGTTGCATTTGTTCCATTTCCTTTGTTCCTGATTACATACCCATTTGCATAGCAGGTGGGAGCAGAAGGTTCAGTTCAGAACTTCGTCTGGGCACGTTGGCTGCAACGAATGCGTCAGTGTTCCACACAAACACATTTTTTTTAAATATTATTATATATTATATTCTTTCATTATTTCATTAGTTTAACTGCAAAAACATTACATGTGCATTCAAACTCAACTGCATGAGTTGGTAAAGAAGTAAGCTTGCAGCAAAAAAAAGACGCCTATTTCAGCCTCTTTCTGTCTTGCCGGTCGAAAACGAAAAGATCACTGACATGCCATGAGCTCCTCAGGGAAAAATTACGTCCTCTTGAATTGTTTGAATGGAATCCAATGGAAAGAAGCCCTCAGTGCAGATTTTTTCGCCACAATTTGCTGCTTGTTGATCTCGGAGTTTCTGTTTGAAGTGACCCACCACCATAGCCCAAAAGAGCCATGGGATATTTTTATTTTCAAAAACATGAAAACTTACAAGAAGAAACCTTTGGGAGTGAAGAAAAGGATGTGTGTGTCTGTGTGTGATTAGTTGCTTGAGTGAGTGATGTGATTGATTGGGCACACATATATATATATATATGAATATAAAGGTTGATAGTAGAGCGCACTACAATGTAGAATATAATACTGTACTGCCTGCTAAGTCACTTGAACTTATGGAAAGCTGGTCACAAATGTAACTTTACGACCACTCCGCACCAGAGCCCGTTTTTGGGCAAAGCGAGCTGTGCACTCACACCATTTCCACCAGAAAGTCTAACACCACACACTTCACTCCGAAACAAAACGGACACATCTAAACACCAGATAGATCCAGAAAGCCTTGACCGCTACACAGAAAACAAAAATGTCTTATTGCAAACAACTTTCTCTTGCCCGCCATTGAAAAGAAAATCCAAGATCGCGATCACAGACCACTTTGTCAGCCCAGCAGGCTGCAAAACCAACAGCAGCAGCAACTCATGCCGAGGCAGAAAAACATTTTCTGGTTGCATTAAGAAAAAACATATTTTTGCAAAGTAAATGCAGTACACTATGCATTGGCAGGCAGCAACAACTGGCAAGGCCATTTCACTGTATTTGTAGCCATGCATCGAAAACAATCATTGGCAGCGTCCAGTCAGGCGAATAGCGGCAATGCTAGACACAGAAGGGATGTTGGACCTTTGAATTAGACAGGGCAAGACACAACATAATGATGCAGTGGATGCAATAATGTCAGCAAAAACACCAGCACCAGCGCAGGTAGAAGGCGATCCTGTGCAAGCTTGGGCTGAGACCCATTGCAAAAGCAACACCACAACCGATGCAATTGAGGTTCCGCTCACCCTCAACAACATGCACCCTACGAGAAAAACTGTACACATATATATATATATATTGTGAACTAATCACACTGGCAGCAGATAGAAATCCAACCCAGATGGCAAATGAACTGACCCTGTCAGATGAAGATAATGTTGACCCTGTCAAATGAAGAAAGTGTGAAAAGGCGTCCCACGCCAAATGAATCCGCAGCTTTTGCACCACCGCTCAGAGCACCATGAACCGTCCAACGGTTATGTACCTCAACCCTATGCCCACCGCTATGGTGTCTCGGGAAGACATGTCAGCGGAGGCCGCATGCTGTAACATCAAGTGGAATCACATCAAGGAAGGTATTGCAGAATTCACACTCCCCAAATTCCGTGTTGATGTGACTCCCGGAACCACTGGAGAGCTTGTTTGCGATGTGCATTCGCTTGCAAGCTGGCAGCTTCATCATACAGTTGAAAAGATCCTCGTTCTAACACCGCACGGAGAAGTGATGAATCCATATTCTTTGTCAAGGGGTCGGCTAGTTGTAAGGCAGTTGGGATCCAACGGAAAAAGCAATGTTCTAAACACCTTTCCTTGATGAGTAAAACTTCAAGCGTAGTCCTATACTCCTCACAAGTGGGCATGGCTCGTCGGCTGACGAGATCAAACAAGGATTTACAATCTGTGACTACGGTCGCCGCCGGCAATTGTCGGAATGCATCTTGGGGACATCTCCAATTGAATGCCGGTACTACCAAAGTGCCCCATAAGAGATGACACCATCCCATTTTGTCGATACTGCGTGACATGGAAAAGGCTTCTGCTGATAAAGTGGATCTGACCACTCGAGAAATCTTTTTGGAGGACCATGTTAGGGGGCTAAGTGGAGCAACCTTATTGTTTTGAAGTTGGGGCGTAGTAGCACATACCATGGTACCTTGGAACGAAGCTAATTGCTTAGGACTTGCAAAGGATGCATCACCGAAAACCACATGAGTTAACTCTTGGGGATCAATGGCTCTGAAACAAAGGGACACATCACTCATTATTTGAGCTTCACGAAGAACCTTGTTGGCATCAAGGAGTGTTGACACAGTCGGCTTGGAAATTTGCATCTGAATTTCACCTAGCTTGGCTGAAATATCTGGTCTTGTGTTAGTAGTGGCATACTGCAAACTTCCTATCAAGCCACGTAGGTTTGACAACTCCTTTTCGGTGATTGGTTCTTGGGGACTGCTTCGGCGATGCTTACCTATCTCGATATGGGAAATGGCTTGCACATACTCTTTTTGGCTGGCACGAATACTGAAGTCCGGAAGTTGTTCCAATTGAATTCCTGTGAAGACAAATTTTCGTTGCTTAAAGGAACCAAATGGCAGTTGTTGACGAAGTAGATCAAGTCGTGAATGAAACCATGAATCACCACCACAAATTCCATCATCCACATGCGTGCCTAGGACTCCATGTAATATGCGTTGATCATTCTTCCATGTTTCAAGATAGTATACACAAGGCTCGAGCGGATGCATCTTAAAACCAAGGGTATCAAGCTGTTTGGCTAGTTCTTTGTAGAAGAGCAAAGGTGCGTCAACTCTTCCATATGCATTGCCAATCAAAGCACAAACTTGATCTTCGGAAAGTTGCATCCTTTCCCGCAGCTCTTTAGGAGGTTCCATGGCCAGAGGATTTTCGCTATCCGCTTTACCCCGCAAGAAGGCAGTCTTGATATCAAAAGAAGTTAACAACCATTGTTTCGAAGCTATCAACTGCAAGACGGTGTGACGTCCTTCTTTTGTCTGGGTAGGTGCATCTCGGTTGACCTCGGTGATGCGAGGGTCCTGGAACCCCAAGACCACCAGACGCGCTTTGGCCTTTCGGCTACCTGAAGAGTTTTCATCATCTGAAACATTTTTCCATGTTAAGACCCATCTAGATTTCAGGATCTGTTCTGGGTTTAGATGTTTTCTCAGTACTGGCTTTAGGGCGCTGGTTTGCAGCCAACACGATATCTCAGCATCCTTTGCGGCAGCAAAGAGTCTTCGATCTTGTAAGTTCAAGTCTTTCAATTGGACCTCAGATCTGGCTCTTTTACTTGCTGATGCAACTTGTGCCAACTCTTCTGGATGGTCGGATTGAGACCACCGCAAGAGGTCTTGTCTGGACAGGGGAACTTCCAACATGAAACATTGATTCTCATGGGGGTCAAATGGTTCTTCAATAAAGGGCATTCCATCTTCGGCCAGACACGCTTCACCTGAGTTGGTACCAGGATGAAAGACGGTCCATTCGTGCAGGGCCTGATCAACATCCAAATTGTCAACTTCATGACATGTCAAGACCTGTGCATCTTCAGCTTCTAGATCGGGAACAGTGGTTTCATGATCATCCAAGTTGATGGCATTATCAGGATTAGGAAGGATATTATTCTGGGATTGGTTTACAGGATCTTGGTTATCTTGAGGTCCAAGAAGTGGAGTATTTGTTGTTGAGTCCAAAAGTTCAGGAAATTTTCACTTTCAGGTTGCATACTGGATTGATTGCTCACTGGAACAGGCGGGGTTTCAGCAGGACTACCGGGTGTGTATTCATCTCCATCAGCATGGGCTTGTTCGGGTCTCAAACCATCTGAGGGAGTTTGACCAGGCATAGTTTCCGAACTTCGTTGCAGGTCTTGAATCTGCTGATCAAGGGAGCCCGAGGTGCTCTGCCATTCACGCAAGGAAGACGGTCGAATGCTTTCCGGAGCACATCGCAAAAGTCTATCCCCATGAGCTACCCAAATGGTGGAGGTTCCTTCAGTGCAAACAATTCTAGCGGGCCCATGCCAGCGTCCAACATCTCTTCTACCGCTGGTGTTCTTCTTTCTCCAGTACACCACAGATTGGCCTATGGTGTAATGACCGGGATGTGGATTGGACTTCCGCAACAGTGCTCTACGGATGGCTGCATCATTGTCCGCAAGAAGAAACATCTTCCGAGCTCGTGACCTGACTTCCAAACTTTTACGAAATTGTTCGCTGGCAAGATCACTTCCGTCGGCAAGGCTATGAGCAGCAGTGGAATCATCGGATGTCAAGGATGCAGGCAGTGGTGTGGATTTACCTAGAATTACTTGTTCTGGCGAAAAACCTTGATGTCGGGAGAGTGCATTCTTGGCCTGGAAACATGAAAGAAGAACTGCGTCAAACTCTTGATGATTCTCTATGGTTCTTTCCTGATCATATCGGGTGAGCATGTTCTTGATGTGGCCATGACGCTCTATCCTACCTTTCTGCCATGCTTCCGTGGAGAACTTCGGCTCCACATTGTGACTCTGAAGGAAGTCAAGCCATTGGCTGGATCGGAATTCACCAGCTGGGTCAGAGTACACCCGTGATGGATGGCCGGCACAGGCAAACCACATGTTGCTAAAAGCCGGAATTGCATGTTCCAAATGCCTATTGTCAAGGCGACGGCCCAAATGAAATAAGGATGCCTCATCGATGCAGTGAAAGATAAAAACTTGAAATCCTCCACGTCCAGTCCAAAAGAAACCATCGATCCCGACCAAGTCATTAAACTCTCTGGGTTCATGAAGTTTGGCAGGTCTTTGATGTCGGAACTTTGACGATTCGACACAGGCATCACAAATATCTTCCTTGGCCGCTTCAACAACGTGTTCAGATGCACCTGAAAGTTTCAAATGCTGAGCTAGCACTGTAGGATCCGGGTGCCCCAAATTTTTCTGAACCTTGACCAAGTCTTGTTTTTCAAGATCATTCAGCAGGCGAAACTTGGGACCATGCAATGGCACCGGTGGAGGCGCCCATCCCTCACAAGCGACGTTGCTGGTTCTATCATGCGCTGCAAGTGGCAAGTTCTGATTCTGATTGCCGGTTGCACGAGCAGCCGATGGGGGCTCAACACTGCCCTCGGGAACTTCAGGGCTTTTGGCAAGTGCGTTTGTCGGTTCGGATTCTCTGGAAGGCACTTCCGCTGATTCTGGTCCCGGCCGATATCGAAACAAAGTGACAGTCAACTTGCTAGGCAAACTCTTGCGGATGCGTTAAGCACGAGTGCTTTTGTGCCAGTCTTCAACTCCAAGATCATGAATTTGAGAAGTCACCCTATGAATGCTGACAGTGTATCTTAAGGGGGCATGATGTGAGGATGGTGCATGAAGTGGAACCTGAAATCGTTCAGTGCCCCTGCAAACAAACATGTCAGTCATGACCATGGTATTCTGAAGGATCTGTTGAGCTAAGTGCCAAGCCTGTGAATCCATTGCGCATCGTGCATTGCCCACTCTTGGGGCCGACTTGATAGCTTCTTGCAAAACCGTTCGCCAGGGTTGGGACCCTGAGGACTGGTCCGGCACTGCGGAACTCGGTTCTGCGGCATCAGGATTCGGATCCTGAGAGTGATGGTCAGTCTTGTCAGTATTGGCCTCATCATGACCATTGGGCATTCCAAGGGATTCGGATTGTTCTTTGCGTTTGCGCATGCTGATACCTTCGGATTTCAGTCTCTTTGGAGGTCGTTCCAAAAAAGAATCATCATCACCTGTTAAAACTTGCTCTTCAAAGCCTACGTACGAATGAGACAGGCCACACAACTTACTGGCCATCACCTTGGCAAAACCACGGCAGTATGTCGCACTGAAGCTGGTCAGCCTTTGATGTTGGCCATCGATGACCATGTTTCCTTCAAGGCGTTGATGAACATGTTGGTCTGTACAGTGATGTCCATGGATGGCATGAAAAATTTCTCTGGAGGAAGTCATCAGTTGACTACGTTTACGCAGGAAACGGTTGGTCTTCGGGATACGCAGGCCGAACTGGCACATATCAAATCGGGCAATGGCAGTCTTTTGACGGATGATTTCAACGATCTTCAAATGCAAAAGACTGGATCCCGCAGGCTGCTCAAAATGAAAGTGACGGCCACGTCTAAGCTGATACTTACATATGCGTTCACAGAGTCTGGAATGTGGCAACTGTTGATCTTGTTGTCCTTGGATTTTATCAAACAGTTCTGGACTCTTCATTTTGTTCAACCTATTCCATCCCCCCAGGGACCACATTCAGGCGCTAACCAGACATGCTCAGGCTGATACATCTCTATCCAGCTCCAAAGTTTGTGGCGTCCTGAAAACGTAGACAAATCGCCATCCTGTTTTGTGAACCTCAACGCCCGATGTCCCATCTGTTGCACAGCTTCAGTGAGTGGACTGTTGGGATTGGCATAAACTTCTAACAAAAACACACGAGACTTGGATGTTGGAAAAACGGTGGCAGTTTGGAGTGAATCCTCAAAATCATGTATTGTTTGAAAAATGGCTTCATGTTGAGTTTGCAAACATGGTTTGGAACATGAACTGGCAATTGATTCTCGGATGGCCTTCACTTCAGCGGAAAAATCACTCCCACTCACAGATCGTTGCCCACCTCTTTCATCCACAACTGGCCGTAGCGCACGAAGTCCTGATGCTCGGGCATCAAGCTGGCATACCTTGCCAAGCTCCAGCTCAGATATCCCGGGTCTTGCTGCATCACGGTTGCAAAGGTCTTTCCCTTGTGCTTGCGGCCAAAATTGATGGTGTTGGATCCCCACTCCTCCAGGGACAGATGTCCCGGCAGTGGCAAGGTAGGCGCTGGTGGCACCTGTGAGCTTCGATTGGATGCCATGGTCAATGGCACACTCTGCAGATTCTGCTGGATCACAATCTCCTCCACTTCTTCGATCTCTTCCCAGCTGGCCGCCTGTGACACCACAGATGGCGTTTTGATCCTTCGTTGAGTCATTCCAGTGGGTGGTCCGGCTACGACCATCATAGAACTCCCTGAAGGCGCTGATGTTGCGGCACTGGAATTGATGACCCGAGTCTTGCGTTCGGGAGTCTTCTTCTGATTGTTGATCTCGTCCTTGAGGGACTCCAGCGAAACACTTTGGAGCTGAATCTGTTTCATCATCTCTTGGAGCTGCATATGCGTCTCCGGGCTGTTCTCTGTCTCCATCTCGGAAATCACCTCTTGCTTTTCCAGCTGGTTCACGACGATCTGCAGGAGCAAAGTGAGCAGATGAATGAGAAATCAACGCACTGACCATTGGCGGCATAGTGATCTGCGGACACGGCGGATCTCTGAAGCGAATTGGCGCGATCACTTGAGTGAAAGCTTCTACATCGTTGGAACTTTGGTCTGTGCGTCCCGGTGGCTTGACGAAAGTGATTATCCCCATCAACTTTCTTAGATTTGACTTGATTAGATGATTTACATCCCAAGTTACCCCATTCTGACTTGGATTGAAAGGAACGTGAAGTCTCGGTTGAGACAGTTTCTTGATACATGGCAATCTCATCGAAATGACAAATGTCCAACATATTGATCAGGTACAGTCCAGTTGGGCTGGTGGCCAATGCAATGGGTGCCTTTTGAACTTTGTACATGTGGCACTGATCGGTTTTGGAGTTCAAAGACCCATGCAACATCTTGAACGCACGTTTGGAAAACAGAAACGGAGTAGCACCTGGAACTACCTCAACTGACAACCAATGTTTCTTGTGATCAACATGCTTCAAAGGAATCTGGATTGCATACTGGCTAGTCAAAGTCTGGTTATTGCCAAAACGGAACTTGACTTGACTATTCTGCTTTCGAAAGGTTTCAGCTAGGTTGCCAGGCAAAGCTTGCTTCAGTTTCTCAAGCGTTTTTTCACCGATGATGCAACGGCTTGCACCTGTATCCAAAATGGCATGTGTGCAAAAGGACTCAAGGCTACTGTACACTGGCATGGACGTCGAAATCTCAAAGGCATCGGATGCATTGGACGTTCGGCATGCTGTGCTGGGCTTCACCGAGTCACGAAACTTCCTGGGCAAGCTGTGCAAATCATCCTGAACATGTTTCTGAAAAGACCCCTTACCAAACTGATTCCTGTGCTTGTTGAAGTTGGACATTCTTTTACTGAGATTGACAACCCCTAAACTCCGACACTCATGAGACAGCATGAAACACACGGCTTCGGCATGACTCGAATGCAGGCTGGTTTCAGTGGCAGGCATTTCATATTCATCATCCTCAGAAAAAACTTCATCAAACTCGGCGCATGAATGGATCACTTCCTGAGGTCTCTCATCGATCACCACGTTGGCTGAGGCGGAAGGCATTGAACCCTGGGATTTCTCATTGCTACCAGCTTGAGGACACTCTGCTTTCCAGTGTCCCAAGGCTCCACAGTGTCGACAATGACTCTTGGAGATACGAAGGAGAAGAGCATCTCTATCCCGAGATCTTTAGCCAAAACCCTTTCCACGACCCTTGTGGTTCTTACTCTTACCCTTGATGGGCCAAAATCCACGGCTTTTCTTCTTTTCCACCAATTTTGATCTGGCTTCTATGTAACTGGTGAGGGCTTCAAACATTTCAGGGGTATCTTGAAGAAATTCCTCAAATTCACCTTCAAAAGTAGATACAGTGAGCGCATCCGCGTCCTCTTGGGCAATCAAGGTCTCCAAAAACTCCTGATCCAGCTCGGGGTCAAAATCGTCGACCTGAGTGTGAAAAGCACGCTCAGAAGGACCAGACTCAAAACTTCGGCCACCTTCTTGGTCCTCTGACTGTTCCAAGACATTGGCCTCATACACCTTTGTCTTCTGTGTGGATCGTCCCGTTTGGAACTCACTGAAAAACTTGCTTCCCAGCAGTCGAAACGATTTGACCACAGGTTTGTATTTGTGCTCACCCTCATGTTCCAGCAAGATGCGCTTTTTGTCATCAGCGCTCAAGGTGGACTGACGTAGGAGGACATAGGCCTGGACCTCCTCTAACGTGGTATTTCAAGCCAACAGCTCCATGAAATTTGCTTCCATCCTGGAGAGAAAGCTATCATGAGATTCATCACTTCTTTGGACTGTCCCGTACAGTGACGTCTCAAAATATTCATACCTCTCTTCCAGTTCAGTTGAACCCCAAGACCCACCGATGGCTTCAACCAAAGTGGCTATACCATCGGTAGACTTCACCTTGAGCTTGGCCGGTGAAATCCTTGCAATCTTTCTAAAGGCTGTGCCCTCGATCAAAAGAGCTGCCCGGGGCGCCAGCTGATCAAGGTACTCAACTGGCTACAGTGAAGCCAAAAACTTCAGCTTCTGAGTGTACTCCTGCACATTGGTGACGCCCGGGACAAACTTTGGGATCTGGCTCCAAGGGAGCTGAGTTACCGGTGGTGTCGGTGTCTCATCATCCGGCACCGGTGGCAAAGCTCCATCTCCTGAAACACCAGGTGGCATGTTGCCAAATTACAGAAAAAACTTGCAAGTCAATGTCGACCTCCCTGGATCGGCCACTCTTTCGGATACCACACAAGGCAGCCGGAGCACGAGGCTCCGCTACCAGTGTGAACTAATCACACTGGCAGCAGATAGAAATCCAACCCAGATGGCAAATGAACGTTGAGCCTGTCAAATGAAGAAAGTGTGAAAAGGCGTCCCACGCCAAATGAATCCGCAGCTTTTGCACCACCGCTCAGGAGCACCATGAACCGTCCAACGGTTATGTACCTCAACCCTATGCCCACCGCTATGGTGTCTCGGGAAGACATGTCAGCGGAGGCCGCATGCTGTAACATCAAGTGGAATCACATCAAGGAACAGGTATTGCAGAATTCACATATATAATATATAATATATAATATATATAATATATAATATATAATATATATAATATATAATATATAATATATATAATATATAATATATATATATAGAGCGCTATTATTGATATACGAAGAATACAAGAGACATGTTGCTCAAATCGAAAGACACAATCTATCGCACTTCCTTCTTTCTCATGTATACATACAGTGCTTTGGTGACGTTGGCTCTACCATCAGTGAGTGAAGCAGGAACTAGCATGATTTAGTGAGGGAGCTAAGACTGAGTCACTTGCTTTGGGATCTAATTCTGGCGTTGGCTTTTGAGTATATGAGTGAGCGAATCTTTGTGTTGGTGAAGCAAGGAGACTTCGCGTTTAAACGTATTTCGTGTCGTTTTAATTTTACTTGATTGCCTTCGAGTGCTTGATTGCCTTCGACAGTTTGCTTCACTCGAAATACACTTCTCAGATCCTTCCTGTCATGGTGCAAGCTGGCAAAGCAATGACTTTTCTCTTGCCTTGTTTGCTTGCATCATCTTGCATCTGTCTATGATTTGCATACTGTCAGAATGTCTGAGTTGCCAACTTGTTTGTAAATGCATCGTCTTGGATCCTCTTGGCTCAGAAGGCTGAAAGCGATTTATCGTGTCGCACCAATACATCTATTCTGCAGGTATGTAGCTGCTGTGGCGATCATGCGAGCTTTCGAAATTGCAGCAAGAAGTGCCACTCTGGCTGTATTTTCAGGCTCGAGTGGAAGCTTACGGGGCAGCTTGTGGTTCGTTTCCAAATGGGGCTCTTGTCATGCTTCAATACCTGGTCTGAATGTTTTGGACATACGAGTGTCTTTAACTGGAGAAAGCCTATCAAAATTTGTTCAATAAACTCGAAAACTAGCGTTGAAAGCGCAATGCAGTTGCGTGTACGATGAGCAGCATGAATGAACGTGACATGCAGTTTTCCAAGAGAACGGAGCAGAAACGTTCCAAAACAAATAGCAGCAGGAGGAAAATTTGGGTTTCTTCCCCTTGAGGCGAACTTGTGCGCAAAACATGACATACCTGTCTGCTTGGCAAGGATGCTGCTACAGTGGTAGTGGATCCTTTGAACCAAGTCCACCTCCAATGAAACCTACCAAGCCGGAATTCATGTTAAAATCTGCGCGCTGTGGGCCCTTACACAGCTGTATCCAAGCAATGACTCAGCCTTGACCCAGGAGGGAACAGAGCCCACTAGCTATCCAGACAATTCTTTTACTTGTTGAAAATCAACAGGTTTTTGGCATGTTTCACTTTCATTCAGACTTTTTAAAACCTATTTGTTCGTTCAATCCTTGGTCTGTCTGGTGGAGCATCTCTGGTCGTTTGCCCCCTGCACAGTACGTTTTGACTTGTTTATCAAGCATATTATATCACCCAATACACGTGTCTTCTGGCATATCATATTATATGGTTGGTCAATGGTTGGCAATTGCGGGACATTCGAGGTTTACTGCTGTCGCAAAAGAGACATGGCATATGAGCATATGAGCATATGAGTTAATCCCGCTCACCTGGGAGTTAAACGCAGATGTGTTAGAGGTGAGAATGGGACACCTGTTACCCGTGGCAGAGCCGAGCGGGTCGTTGTGACGCACACAAAGAAAGTATGCCAAGTAACAGCACCTGTGAGGCAACATCAGTACTAAGAAGCAACCCTTAGGGTTACGACGGTAGCCTAAATAATACGTGCAGACCAGTTTGGACACGATTTTACATCGGTACAGCTTCAGACAAGATCGAACTTGGCCCTGGCCACATCAACTTCAGCTGACACAGAAGAGTGAAATAGTGACGCCACAAAGCACTGTATGGGAAACTGCCTAGAAACATAAGGCATCAAGTCTGAATCAAGGAAATCAGCCATGGTACCAACGCAACTGTACAGTGAATGCAACACAGTGATGTGCTGCTGGTGACAACGGGGGCACTGTAGCAGAGCCGCAACATTCTTACTACCCAACCCATGTTGCCGGCCACTTACCAGTGAGCCGTATGAAAGCCCACACTTTAACTAGCTTCCAATCCTCAACGTTCAATAGCGGAAGTAACCAATCCCACCCCTGAGAGGAAAGCTGAGGGGCCAAAGCATGATAGGTAACCCCAAGTCCAAGCAAAGACTTGCTAGCTGCTCGTTGAAATTCAGCGCCATCTGGAGCATAATGCAGGAAAAACCACCTGTGTCTTGTATTTTGTTTCGAGAACCTTGCGCCACTTTGCATCACCATGTGCGCGAGTGAGATCATCATTGGAAATAGTCCAGACTCAAGGATGCAAGGAATTCGGAAAGGTAGACATCAGTTCTTTGACAGAACTAACCCAAGTTTCGCCAACAGTAGATACAGATGCAAGCACCATCCGGGCTGTTGGGTGCTCAGTGGGAAGCAACTGAATTTCCGCCAAGTACACAATTTCTCGCCCAATAGCTTTACTTCCAAGTCTTTGACGCCATCCACAAAATGCCACACTCAGCGCAGTCCGGAAATCATATTGACCAGAAGTTCCTAAAATTTGCCTTGCCAAGACCCCTGGCAAATAACTCGCAACCATACAGGATTACAGGCTCAACCCTTTGTGCGACAGCCACTGCAACGACAGGGGGAGGAAAACCACACTCATTGGACATGTTGAGAAGTTCCACGAATAAGGCTTTTCCCACATTAAGGACAAAAGCTTCCTGATTGTTCAAAGTCAAATGCTCATCAATAAAGCAACCCAGCACCTTGTGCACACTGCATTGCATATTTTGAATATCCGGTGGATCTGCACCATAGCAACACATGACCGCCGTCCTTTGCGGGCCCAGATTAAACTTTGCGCGCGCCATTCGTTCATACATTGGCAAAGCAGCACGCGCTGCGTTGGATACAGCCTGCTTTGAAGGAAAGGTGGCCGCAACATCATCAACGTACAAAAGTGACCCAATTCCCTCCACCCCAAGCAGTTCCATACACATGCACCAATCATCCTTAGGAAAAACTTCTGTAAGTTGAATTGCGAGTCTGCGCGAAAACTGATGAGATGCACCTGTCACCAATGCCTGCAGTATGATGCCAGCAACCATAGCAGGAGGGAATTTAAATCCGACTGTAAAGCCTTAGGCGTTAAATGGGTGCAAAGCCCCGATATAACATCCGCAGCAAAGCTCGGCAGGATGGATTGGGCGGAAGGCCCCGTGGTACACAACAAATGCTGAAGAAAAAACATCAGGGACGTGAAAGACTGAACAGCAAACTTGCGACCTTGAGGAACTCCAGCCCTAAGCTTCAGCGCAGCTGATAGCACCCCATTGAGTTGAATGAAAGTGGACTCCATAAGAAAGAAATCAAACAGGAGCAGCCATTCAGCCTCCACAATGCCTGCCAAATAGCATGTAACCAAAAGCGCTTCTTGATCTGCAGTATGAAAAGCCCACTTGAGGTCAGCAAAAAGAATGTAAGTGTCAAGCCCCCGCAGGTGTCTGATTTGAATGTGCAAAATTAAAACAATGATAACGGCAATAGTATCAAACTTACCACCCATTTGTGACAAACCAGTGAAGCGTTCCAACAAGAAATTGGGACCGGAGGTGCCAAAGTCCATCTTGCACCGCAGCCATGTCTGTCGCTTGACTGATTGGGCGAAGGTTTGCAACCTTTCTCACAATCCGCGGTCCTGACTTCCTTACTGGGGAAATACGCCTAGCCTCCACAGAGAAGAGGTGAGCTGCGCCGCCCTTGCAAGATTCATTAACGCCAAATGCATAGCCCGGGAACGGAGGCTCTTTGAACGTACCGCTGCCAAAGGACAATGCACCGCACTCTTCTTGGGTTTTACCCCACCGAGCACCTTGTTAAGTTCATCCATGGTATACAAACTACAGTTGCAGCTGTGTTGATAAGAGGGACAGACATTTGCCCTAGATCAGTGGCTGGCGGCGCCGCAGCCTTAATCTCCTTAACAGCATTGACAAAGAAATGGGCACAACCAGGAGCTTGATCGAAATCATTGTCAGCGCGTTTCAACAAATCACACGTGACCACATCTACCGCATGCCCAGCATTAAGCAACTGTCCAGTTTCCTCAGGCGTCAGCGCAATTTGAAATTGCTTGGACTTCTTAAACCAGCTAGACAGGAATCGCGACGCAGCAGCAGGCTGAGTGGCCTTCAAGCGCAGATACTTGGCTAAGGACTTCTTTCTAAGATCGAGGTGGAACTTTGCAACAGCCGCCTTGTAATCATCATAATCTGGAAAATTCTCAGGCTTAGGGACGCTGTACCACACTGTCTTGTGATCTTGCGCACCTCTTTTAATCTCAATGAGGCCCTGACAATGCCCCAGAATACACACTACAACATCACGAACCCAAGCAGCAGCATCAAGCACAGCTCTCTTTCGCTTCATTGACAAAGCTAGTAGCTTGTTGAGAAGCCAACGTACAGGTTTCCAAACAAGGTGTCCACAAAGCAAACACAGTATCCCAAGCATCACCATGGGCCCATAAGAGTCTACCAATCGTATTCTGAAAGGAGAATTGAACAGCAAGAGGCACCTTACCCAAGACCATCCGGTGATCTGAGAATCCAACATCTTCCCCTAAAACTTCGACTCGAACAGGCTGAGTGAAGTGGCTCATGATAAGATCTAAAGATGTGCCAGAGACATTCGTGGCCACTTGCGGGTTGCGAGCCTCCAAGCCATGCCGCTGCAAGATTCGCTGAATATGTTTATCAGCTGCGGACTGCTTACAGTGTGAACACCTACAGGTGGGAGGATGAGGAGAGATGAGCATTACAGTCTCCTGCCACAATGAACCGAGAAGCGGGCAATTATTTTGCAAACTTTCAAACTCTTCAGCAAACTGTCGCCAGAAGGCAGCATTACCTCCCGGAGGCCCATAGACTGCACCAAGGATAAGCTTTGGATTTTGATTGGGCGCACCAAGTGAATGTAATGTAATCCACAAAAACGCTGTCAGAGCCAAGGGACTCTATAACATCCACCTGGAATTTTAACTCTACAGAAACTAGTGGGCCAACGCCTGACCAGCTAGTTGTTTGTGCACGAATCCACATGTAAGGAAACCCTTCTGGCAGTTCAGCTCGAGCAGGAAATCTTGCACCGGGAAGAACACACGACTGTACATTATGTTGCACCAGAAACGAGCCGATATGAAGGGGTCTCCACCGCAAAACTTCTTCAGTACCAAGTTGAGAAAGTCCGGTTCTCCCAGGGTGAAGTGTGGCAATGCTGATGCTTGAATAGACATGTTTCCTCAGCGCTCGTTCACAGCTATCAGGATCAACTCCACCCATGTAAGGAGAAACCATCAAATTACGCAAGACCTGCCTAGTGCTCAAATGAGACAAACTCTGCCGCAGAGCATCTCGCAAGACTCGGACTATTTGTACCAACCCCTTCAGGTGCGGCACCTCCTGCCCAGTAACCACCTCAAGGTTCCGTGGGTTAATGGGTGCAAGATCAAATAGTCCTTTGAAATCTTTATTGGCAACCGAAAGTTCAAACTTCCCTGGAGCAGCTGCAAGCCATTGCTGCATGCAGGCAGGCTTCCAAACTATTCACATCATTCAACTCGCAGAATACGCAAAAGAAAACAAAACAGGGAGCCGAAGTCAGAGCAGAACAACAACAAGACACATCAACGCAACAGAGAAAGACGATCAGGAAACCAGCAGCAGCAGCCACATCTGGAAGCCACATGTTTCGACTGTACCACTGTAGATCCAAGTTCAGAGTGGGCATCTAAAGCAAACAAGGACATTAGCAAGTAATGTTGAGGATGCGGCTGTCACACTTGATAGCCTGAAGATCATGCACTGCCCGGTTGGCAACTTGGGCTGATCGTACACTCTGGTAGGATGCGGGCTGGGCCTGACACAGTTAGACGTCCCTGCTTTCTCGATGTTCATCAACTGAGCCATCTGCTGCCCCACAGTCTCCTTCATAGTTTCCTCCAATTCTTGGAACTTCGAATGAATGAACTGACAGATGTCCCTTTGGCACTGTTCCTCATGCCTTGGTTTCACATGGTTCAATGGACATTGCAGCGGAGATCTGGAGCGATCACGGGCTGGAATGTGTCGTGGGGATGGGCTACGTTCCTCTGGTAACAAGATGTTCACGTCACCTCCCTCATTCAACACTTCAATGGCCCACTTCATTGCCTTACTCAACCTCTGAGGAGTATCCATTGCACTTCAGTCACCTAAAAGCAAACTCAAGATATTCTCCTCAAAGTCCAAGCCAACATGCTGCGTTGCAGATGCTGACGCGTAGTTTCAAGACAACAGAGTCAGCAAAGTGTCTCCATGCAAGTCTCGTGAAACAAATCCAAGACATCCGAGGCATCTGAAGATTGAGAGTCCAGTGACAGTCCTTCAGATCTACCAAACATGCTCAAAACAGCACCAGTACCCAAAAGTGCTCCGGCAGTACCTAACTTCGAAGTTCTTCGAACAGTACTCCTGTTGGTCAAAGTCGAGCCAGTGCTTTGCAGGGTCTCTGGGTCGAAACTAACTGTAGAAACAGTAGCAGTGGGCGCAGACGGTTGAGCACACGAAGCTAAGTTCTGAGTGGCCGGCTGTGAAACTAAGTTCGCGTCGTTGGATCCAATTGGGTGTCCGACAGTCTGAGTATCTGGCCAATTCTGTTCATGCCAGTATCCAGTCCAGTCGTCACTCCAGTCAGTCCAGTCCGTCCAATCTGTCCAGTCCTCATAGTACTGATTCTCATACCACTCTTCAGTTCCTGAACATAACCAGTCATTCCACTCTTCTTCAGTCCATTCTTCCTGAGTATCGTCAGTCACATAGTCAACTGCGTTCACCATCATCTTACAGTCTTTACTGAAGTGTCCGAAGTTACCACAGTTCCAGCATTTTTGTCTATCTCCTTTCCTTTGTCACCTTTGCCTTTGTAGTTCATTCCAGTTTCCTTTCATTTTTCCTTTTCCTTTCAGGGGGTACAGTCCTACTCTTCCCTTTCCTTTACCTTTCTTCCACATGGCACCTATGTCCATTGGTGTTTGAGTGTCACTTTTCACAACATGACGCGATTGGTAGTAGTCCAGTATCACATTCCTAACAGTGTCATACGTATCCAGTGTCCTCACGTTCAGTCTGAGGTGTTGTTGCAGTGATCCCGACGTCTTGTTCAACAGTGTTGCTACCAGTATGCTGTCCGGCAGGGCAGTTCCAGTTTGACGTTCGTACCTGTTCTTCAGTTGTTCCCATTCAGTGTAGTCCTGTTCAAAGTGTTCAGTCCTGAATCGAAACTCAAGCACCTTGGTCAAGAGACTAATGTTGTTTGCAGTACTTGGAAGCGCAAATCTACGTGACAGTAAGCGCCAAGTCTCAAACCCGTTCAGTCCCAAGTTACCTCGAACTACCAGTCTAGCACTATTCTTAGTAATCAGGCTGAGCAAGTAGTGCAGCTGTCTACTAAAAGCTACGAGGCCAGTGAGTTCAACTGCATTGTCTTCTATAGTCTGTACAGCGTCATCAGTGATGACCGAAGTGGCTTCTTCAGCAGCATCCATGACTCTCAGTACATGTTCTTTGAACATAGAAACGTAGCTTCTCACATGCCATGACCAGTTTTCCCATTTCTCCATAGTTCCATCGAAACTTTCAGGTAGTGGGAGACGTGAGTTTCCACCTAGAGTTCCACTGTCTCCAAAGGTCGCCATTTCCTTCTGTGAGTTGCAGTGTGGTACAGTTCTACTCTTCCACCGCAGGCAGTGTTACAGTTCTACTCTTCACCCGCCGAAGTCTTCAAGCACAGTAGGAGCCAGGTAGCTCCGCTACCATACGAAGCGTCAAGTTCACTTTTAAGTCCACCAAACCGTGCAGTATCAGCCAGCTTCTAGTTTTCACTCACGCCAGTCTATCAGTCACAGTACAACGTCTCACAGCGTCAGTCGAGTTCCTAGTGCCTTGAGCCAGGCTTGAGCCAAACCACAGTTTGGCAGTGCAGTAGATTCAGTGTACTGCGCAGTGGAGGGCAGAGTGGCAGTCATATCTAACACAAGCAAACAAACAAACAAACAAAAACAAACAAACAAACAAACAAAAACAAACTTTTTGCTTGCTGCCAGCTAGTGGGTTTAAAAGCGACTGCTTAAACAGAGAGCTTACGCCACTGTAGTGTGAGTCACAGTCTTCGACTGCGCGCTTGGCCTTCTGGCCGTTGCGGTTGCACCCATCTCATAAAACCATTCAAATCAAAAAGCGATCCTGCAACCCCATTCAAGGCAATGAGGGCTTGGCCCGGAGGGGGCTTGAAACGTCCCTCCCATCAGGCACCGCCAAGCAAATCAAAACAAACCAAAAAAGAAGCAGCACAGAAGAATCAAAAAGCGGGTTGCAAGAAAAAAGGAAGCTACTTCAGTCAAAATCAAAAAAGGCTCTCTCATGCGTACTCATTCAGTGGATCTTTGCTCTTCTGCTTTCCGGCCCAAAGCGCGGGCAAGGGGCCCCGCTGGGGCCACATCTTTGGGTTCGGCTTGCAGTGCGTCCAGCGATGCGTCAATCCAGTCAAAAGCTTCCTGCCGCGCAGCCACAGCACTTTGCCGCGGGCAGATTTTCAAAAGGATGCGGCCACCACAGATGCTCTTGGCAAAGCACAGCTGAATGCTCTTGCTCATGTCTTCTAGCTTTGTCATAGGATCATGAAGCTCAGCAAACTTGGTCATCACCTGGCGGCCGTCCTGATTTCAGAAGCCACTGGGCCAGAAACAAGCAAACAAACAAACAAGCAAGCAAGCAAGCAAGCAAACAAACAAACAAACAAAAACAAACTTTTTGCTTGCTGCCAACTAGTGGGTTTAAAAGCGACTGCTTAAACAGAGAGCTTACACCACTGCTGAAGTAACTACCTCAGAATTTAACAACACTGAACTCCTTCCTACAGAAGGGGGAAAGGAAAGGGACGAAGAAGACGACCATGAGGAAAAGAAGACGGGGGGAAGGGACGTGACCAGCAACACACGCACCCCAACACTGGGACACCACCCCAGGTCAGGACGTGGTATACCAGCACACACACCCCAAGAAGAGGAGGGCGACAGAAGGAGGCACGAAGAAGAAGAAGAAGAGGAAGAAGAGGAAGAAGACAAAGGGACGTGGCCAGCAATGCATGCCCCAACACTGGGAGGGACTCCACCCAGGTCAGGACGTGGTAAACCAGCACACGCACCCCAAGAAGAGGACGGGGACAAAGAAGAAAGGACGAAAAGGAGGATGAGGAAGAAGAAGAAGGAGAAGAAGAAGAAGACGAAAGGGACGTGGCCAGTAACGCACGCACCGCGAGACTGTGACACCACCCCAGGTCAGGACGTGGTAAACCAGCACACGCACCCCAAGAAGAGGGGGGAACAAAAGAGAGGACGAAAGAGAGGACGAGGACGAGGACGAAGAAGAAGAAGAAGAAGAAGAAAAAAAAGAAGAAGAAGAAGAAGACGAAGACGAAGGGACGTGGCCAGCAACGCGCGCACCCTGACACAGGGACACCACCCCAGGTCAGGACGTGGTATACCAGCACACGCAGCCCAAGAAGAGGAGGGGGACAAAGAAGACAGGACGAAAAAGAGGACGAGGAAGAAGAAGAAGAAGGAGAAGAAGAAGAAGCAGGGACGCGGCCAAAGACACACTGGCTTGGCCATTTAAGACTCCAAAGCACTTGCCAAAAAGCTTTCCGTACCCTACCAAAAAAGGAAAATCAGCTTGCTTTCCCACCTTCCTGCTCTTTTCAAAGCCCCAGGAGCTTTTGTGACCAGCAGCATCCATTTGTGGGCCAAGATCCGACATGCAAGAAACGTTAATGACTTGATGACTGCATTGAATTCAGCTGAGGATTCTAAAGGTTGAAGTAACTCAGTACCTGTGGTTTTTGTGAATGTCATGAAAGAGACATTTTGGCGAATTGCCGAGTTTTCATATGCTTTCATTCACATTTGCCAAGGGATCTGCATGCAGGCCTTACTCACCCCTACGGATTCTTCTGGTCTTTAGCTGCAGATTATTGTGGCTGCCTGAGCTCTGAGATTCTATGAAGGCTGCTGCGTTCGTGCAACTGCAAGTGGAGACAATGGCTTGTGCAATGAAGTAGTGACCTCAATAGGATCATTTTTATTTGGGATTGAGATGGATAGTCGCCGTTTGGCCGTTGCGAGAATCAACAAAGCCAGGTTGTTACAAAGATAACCTATACACCTGAAGACACTGAAAGCACAATACCAAAACACGTTCTACACTTCTACACGAATTGCAAGGAAGCAAGTGTCAAAAACAGATCAGGGAAAAGGAAGCGCAGATTGGCACGCTCAGCTTGAGTATATACTGTTTGGATGCACGCACTTCCAGAGCGCTATGTATATATGCGTTGCATACGCGTTGCGTGTTTAAGAGGTTGCCAATTGCTTCCCAGCGTTGGGGAGATTTGGGGCACTTCGGAGGGGAACCCCTGGAAATCAGAGGGGAATTCCCAGATGCTTTGTTTCTGGATAGGTTGTGGGAAGACTAGTGGACTGCATTGCAGCGGGGTTTGGTAGCTCCGCTGTAGCAACGTTGTGGAAGGTTCTGGCCACCAGTGGAAGATCAACTTGAGTTGGGGTGATGTGCTGGTAGACTCCTGGAATCTGTGGGATGGTGTTTTGGTCAATCTTGTTTCGCTTTGGGCATTTTTTCAGAGTTGTCTCCTTGCCTGTCAGTCCTTTACCGAGGTCTTGCGCCACATTCTACATTGCTTTTGCAATGTCACTTTTTTTTTGCAGATCCTTTTCCCAGTACTTTCTCATTGTGTTTCAATCCTTTAGTAATTGCTACCAATTGCTTCTGGCTTGCGGTGTCTATGAGCATTTTTGTCTTGAGTCTTCCTTCATTGCTTCTTTTCATATTGTTTCTACAGGTTTTTCTCTATCCTTTTCGTCCTGTTTCCTTTGCGAGCCTGTCGACCTTGCTGCTGCTTGATTCCCTTCTCAGAAATTCCGATCCCTTGGTCATTTGTGAGTTATTTCTGTTCTCGTTTATGCAATCTTAGTGTTTCAATCGTCTCCTGATCTATTTCAGTCCTCAAGGATCTTGCGCCTTTATACTGCAAGTGAGGCACTGCAATTGTGTTTGGCCATCTTTGTTCCTGATGAATAGTCCACATATTCAACACTTCCCTGCTTTCATGTGACCAGTGGCATTCGCAAGGTATCATGCTGTTCTTGATCGTTCGGCACCAGTCTGTACAGTTTACATACGGCATGATCCTTAGTTGTCTCTATGCAGAAAAATCTGAATTTCAAAGACAATCTTTGTTCTATTGGCAGAGCTCAACGTCCATTGTCTTTCAAGGCTTGTGTGTTGCTTTACCCCTTGTTCTCGTGAGCGTGGAGCCTCTCGTTTGGCGGAGAGAAGATCACGCAGTGCCCAAGGCTGGAACTTGTGGTGTCTTCAAGGATCAACAAAGATCAACACGTTTAAACTGATATCACTTTGATCACACTGCCGAGCAGACAAGGACAGAAGAAGGAAGCATTTGCACTTGATGTGAGGACTCCTACTACCTTGTTCGGGTTGCGGAGTTCGTGGTAATGTGGACCGTCATCATTCACAAGCAGGCTGGTCATGCCAAGCCATGCCTTCTCATGGTTGGCTGTAGTTTGTGTCCTTGATGCAAGTTTCTGTTCCCACCTTAGCTTCACTTGTCGCTTCATGTATCCTTTACTGCATTCTGTAGCATTCTTTCACACGTTGCTTCCGCGTCGCCTTTGAGTTTCGTGAGGTTGCCACAGCTGAACAGGAAGAAGCTTCAGAGACTTCAGTCTTGGGCTGCGAGGCCTGCAGCAGCCTGCGGCAGCCTGCAGCAATGAATTTTTGGTGATGGTCCTGACATGTTTGGACATGGACGATGGACTAGAGTCATTTGTAACAGGCTAACATTTTTTCTTGAAGCATCCCGTACTGGTTCTTAGGTCAGAGGGCTCACATCTCATTGGGCTAACTGGGATTGGATTCATCAGACACTCAATCTGACCACAATCTGGGTGAGGCGTTGGCTTTGTTCAGCATGCCGGGCACACGGAGCCAGTGACGGACTTCCATATAAATCGAAGTATATATATATATATACCTTACATTTTTTAACTAATGAGCACTCCAACTTCAGTCATTGCATCCTTTTCTTGGATTTGAAGTGCTCATCTTCAAGGCTTGGACTTTTTGTCACGCTTCCCTTCGACAAGCCCTCAGCGCCGCTAGAGTCTCTAGAATACTATATGAAAATCTATTCAAAGGAAGTTTAGAAGTCAAACTTCTGACAATATGGACAGATGGAGCAGCAAAGGTGGGAAGAGTCAGAGAGGAGAAGAGCAGAAGAGAGAAGATCAGAGAGGAGAAAGAGTGAGAAGAAAGAAGATGCAGGCGCGCGAAAAGGTAGGAAAGTTGCGAAGCTTCGTGTTTTTCCAATGATTTGTGGCTCCGGAGGGCGGGTGCGGAGCCATGTGGTCAGATGAGAGATGAAAAAGTGCACGCCGTTGCGGCGTGAAGCACATTTCGAAGTCAAAACGTACAAAGCACACCAACGTCGGACCACTTTTGGAAGTTGAGATGTCGAAAAAGTGCACGCCGTTGTGGCGCGAAGTACATGTCGAAGTCAAAATGTACAAAGCATTTCAGCCTCGGAGCACTTTTAGAAGTTGAGACGTCGAAAAAGTGTACGCCGTTGTGGCGCGAAGCACATTTCGAAGTCAAAATGTACAAAGCACCACATGTTTGCGCCCCTTTTGGACGTTGAAGCGTCGTTTTGTGTGGCAGGCGCAAGGGATTCTCCACTCTACCAAAAGTGAGCAAAACGTGAGGGTTTTGTAGCATGTCCAAAAACGATGGCAGGCGTGGGACATTTGAAGGGGGTCTGCAAAGATGGATTTCGCATGGCAGGCGCAGTACAAGAGACATGTTCATCAGAGATGTTAGGAGGTCAGGCCGCTGATTTCCTGAGAGCGGTTGCATGTCGGAACATCAGATCTTCAGGTTTGCGAAGATGATTTTGCGTGACTGGTGCAGCACTTTGTATGACTTGGCATCACTTTTTCGTGGCAGGCGCAGTGCTTTAGACAGATGGAGTGGAAAAATCGCAAAACGCATTGGTATGAGGCCGTCAGCTCTGCATTCAACTTTCCATTCTTGAAGAAAGTCTCGCAGGATTCTGTCGTGCTTGAAGTTGTCAAGTTCAAACAGTTCAAACATTGAGGAAGTCTCGTTGAATTGCTGCGTTTGTGATGTCGTCACCTGCGAAAATGGAGGAAGCCTTGCAGAATTGCTTCGTTTCCAAGTTTGCAGCTAGACAGATAGACAGATAGATAGACAACTACAATTACAAATGCAGATATACTACGCTACATACACGACACGAATTACACTACACTACACTAATTGCACAGCAACAGCAACTACTACCACTACTACCACTACTACCACTACTACCCCTCCTACTACTGCTGCTGCTACTTCTATTTCTACTTCTACTACCACTACTACCACTATTACCCCTCCTACTACTGCTGCTGCTACTTCTACTTCTACTGCTACTACTACTACTACTACTACCACCTCTAGTACTACTACTACCACAGCTACAGCTACACTACATTAAACTACAGTACGCTAACTACACTGCAGCACACTACAGCTACAAATGCACGTACAACTGCAGCTACACACATTGCACAACACTACACTACACTAATTTAATTAAATTACACTACAGCTAGAAGTACAACTGCATTTGCAACTGCAACTGCAACTACAACTACAACTACCACTACACTACTCTACACTGCACTACACTACACCACACTACACTACACTACACTACGCTACACTAATTTCACTACACTACACCAGTTTCACTACACTACACTATCACTACAACTGCACTACTTTACGCTACACTAGGCTACACTGCACTATACCACACTACAGTACACAACATTACGGTACCCTACGCTACACTACACTACACTACACTATATTGCGCTACACTACACTACACTAATTACACCGCACCACAGCTACAATCGCAACCGCAACTACACTACACTAATTACATTACACCACTATAAGTCCACTACACTACACTACACTACAACTACACTACAACTACAACCACACCACACTACATTCCAGCAGTTGTGGTGAGGTGACCACTGCAACCATTGCAACCACTCCAGAAAAAACAACTCCAACCACCTTTCGGTCCTTCAGTGGATTCGCTCTGCCATCGGTGATTCACAACAACGAACCTCTCCTATAGGTTTCCTATTTTTGAACTTCCGCCACCGCCTTGTCCGGTACTACTGGCACAACATATTACGACATATTACAACATACTAAATATCTAAGGATATCTAATGCTTTTTGTTGAGAAGCCTATTGGCCTAACTCCGAACCGTGGCTTTACAGTGTCACTCCTGTCACTTTTGTCACTTTGAAAGTTTTTGTGTGTCCCATGTCCCTGTGTGTAAAGTTCAGTAGGGATGCAACCAGGAGTTTGTTTTGGGAAGGAAACGATTTTCTTGACAGGAGAAAGGTTTTTTCTGGTTGAAACAAATGTTTAAAGGCAACAGAAAACGTTTGTCTTACAAGCCGAAACTAACGTTTTGGCGCTGCCCAAGCTTTGGCCTGAAAGCAGTGAAAAGAGAAAACACAAGTTTTCCTCCCAAAACCCAACGTTTCCCCTGCGAAAAAATAAGTTTTGTGGCTCGAAGCAAACCTTTTACGGAAAAGTTAGTTTGAAACTGGAAACTCAAAGCCAACTCTGTTGGACTTAGTTTCAGACCCTCCAAAACAAACCTTTTTTGGACTAGTTTGTTTGTTTGTTTGTTTGTTTTTGAGAAAACGTTTGTTTCGGAAACGTTTGTTTTGGCTGCGGAAACAAGCTATTCCACAAAACCTTTGTTTTGGGTCCAAACACTAAGTGCCACCCTGCCAAGTTGAATGGTTTCTTTTCGGGAATCTTTTGTTTCGAACAAACGTGTTGTCTGAACAACTTTAGTTTCGAAACGTTAGTTTCCAGGCGATAAACTCCGTTTCGAGCCGCTTTGGCTGTTGACAGCCGCCGCCCAGTTGTAGCTATCATCGTCATCCTCGCTTTTGTCCTTTTCCCGAATGCGTAGCAAGGGTTCCCGTTTCACTCTGGGGGTCTGGGGGTTGAGGGTGTGTTCGCTCGACGTTGCGTTAGCGTCCGCAACCGTCCGCAACCGTCCGCAACCGTCCGCAACCGTCCGCAACCGTCCGCAACCGTTCGTACGATCCCCGTATGGCCGTGCCTATGGGAAGTTCTGCAGAGGTGGTCAGTTTTGGAAGTTTCCAACGTTTCGTTGCTTCGTTTCGCGTGGCAGGCGTGGCACTTCGTGACATTCAGACGTGTTTTGTAACTTGTCGAAAGTCGTTTTGTGTGGCAGGCGCAATACTTTTGCGACGTTTTCAGAAGATGTGTGGCAGCTTTCGTGGCAGGCGCAGCACTTTGGACGTGTCCATCGTCATTTTTCATGGCAGGCGCAAGACTTTAGACGTGTCGTGTTGAGTGTTTTTGGCAAATCGCATTGGCAGGGCTGCGTCAAGTGGCGACAAGGTGCAAATTCCGTGGCAGGCGTGGCCTTTTGTGACATGTGCTGAAAATTGACGGAAGCCTCGCACGAAACATCGATTTCGAGGTTGCAAAATTTAGAAGTTCCTACAAAAACTCGTAGGAGAACGTCGATTTTGAAGCTACAAAGTGTGAAAATTGTACGAAGTCTCGCACGAAATGCTCGTTTTGGTGCTTCCACCTGTCTCGTCTCGGGTCACTGGTTTTCTGGTGGCTTCGCCGTGTCTGGGGGAAGCTGCAAAACATGTCCTTTCGGCATGTTTGAAACTGTGAAAATTGGAGGAAGTCTCGCGCGAAATGCTGGTTTTGATGTTCCTACGTGTCTTGTCTCGAGTCTCTGGTTTTCCTGTGGCGTCGCCGTGTCTATGGGGGAAGCCGGAAACCCTCCCCTTTTCGAAGGTTTCCAAGCAGGTTGTCATGTCGTTTTGCGTGGCAGGCGTGACACTTTGTGACATTCCAACCTGTTTGATAACGTGTCGAAAATGTCAAAATTGGAGGACGTCTCGCACGAAATGCTCGTTTTGCTGCTCCCACGTGTCTCGTCTCGAGTCTCTGGTTTTCCTGTGGCGTCGCCGTGTCTATGGGGGAAGCTGAAAAACTTCTCTTTCTCGAAGGTTTCCAAGCAGGTTGTCATGTTGTTTTGCGTAGCAGGCGTGGCGCTTTGTGACATTCCAACCTGTTTGATAACGTGTCGAAAATGTCAAGATTGGAGGAAGCCTCGTACGAAATGCCGATTTTGCTGCATCCACGTGTCTTGTCTCGAGTCGCTGGTTTTCCTGTGGCATCGCCATGTCTATGGGGGAAGCTGGAAAAGACTCCTCACTCCACACTCCACACTTCACACCCTACACTTTCCACTCCACACTCCACACTCCACACTCTACACTCCACACTCCACACTTTACCACACTTTACCACACTTCACACTCTACACTCCACACTCTACACTCTACACTCTACACTTTACACTCTACACTCCACACTTTACATTTTACACTCCACGCTCTACACTCCACACTTTACACTCCACACTCCCCACTCTACACTTTACACTCCACACTCCACACTCTACACTCCACACTCCTCACTTTACACTCCGCACTCCACACTCCACACTCTACACTTTCCACTCCACACTCCGCACTCCACACTCCACACTTTACACTTCACACTCCTCACTCCACACGCCACACTTTACACTTCTCACTCCATACTCCACACTTTACACTCCGCACTCCTCACTTTACACACTCCACACTCCACACTCCACACTTTACACTCCACACTCCACACTTCACACTCTACACTTTCCACTCCACACTCCACACTCCACACTTTACACTCCACACTTTACACTCCACACTCCACACTTTACACTTTACACTCCACACTCCACACTCTACACTCCACACTCCACACTCCTCACTTTACACTCCGCACTCCACACTCCACACCCTACACTTTCCACTCCACACTCCGCACTCCACACTTCACACTTTACACTTCACACTCCTCACTCCACACTCCACACTTTACACTTCTCACTCCACACTCCACACTTTACACTCCACACTCCACACTCCTCACTTTACACTCCACACTCCACACTCCACACTCTACACTTTACACTCCACACTCCACACTCTACACTCCACACTCCTCACTTTACACTCCGCACTCCACACTCCACACTCTACACTTTCCACTCCACACTCCGCACTCCACACTCCACACTTTACACTTCACACTCCTCACTCCACACGCCACACTTTACACTTCTCACTCCGCACTTTACACTCCTCACTCCACACTCCACGCTGCACACTCTACACTTTACACTCCACACTCCACTTTACACTCTACACTTTACACTCTACACTCCACACTCCACACTTTACACTCCACACTCCTTACTTTACACTCCACACTCCACACTCTACACTTTCCACTCCACACTGCAGACGGGTAACAGGGGAAATATGTACAAGACTGTTTAAATAAAGTACTGCAGAAAAGTGTTGTGCGTGACTGCATATCCATTTGTTTTGACATCTGTACCATTAACATACGTGTGAGCATTCGGGTTCGTGGGCCGCATCTTGTTGTTCCTTTCCTTTGCATTTTTCGTGTGTTTCCCCTGGTCGATGTTGCTGTTGCTGTTGTTGCTGTTGTTGATGTTGTTGATGTTGTTGATGTTGCTGCTGTTGCTGCTGTTGCTGCTGCTGCTGCTGGTGTTGTTGTTGTTGTTGTTGTTGCTTGTTGCTGGTTGTTGCTGGTTGTTGCTGGTTGTTGCTGGTTGTTGTTGGTTGTTGTTGGTTGTTGTTGGTTGGTTGGTTGGTTGGTTGGTTGGCTGGCTTGGCTGGCTTGGCTGGCTTGGCTGGCTGGGGTTGGGTTGGTTTGGGTTGGGTTGGGTTGGTTTGGGTTGGTTTGGGTTGGTTTGGGTTGGTTTGGGTTGGTTTGGGTTGGTTTGGGTTGGTTTGGGTTGGTTGGGTTGGTTGGGTTGGTTGGGTTGGTTGGGTTGGTTGGGTTGGTTGGGTTGGTTGGGTTGGTTGGTTTGGTTGGGTTGGTTGGGTTGGTTGGGTTGGTTGGGTTGGTTGGGTTGGTTGGTTTGGTTGCTTTGGTTGCTTTGGTTGCTTTGGTTGCTTTGGTTGCTTTGGTTGCTTTGGTTGCTTTGGT